TTTGTTTTTATTTATTTGTTTTTATTTATTTATTTATTGTCTTGTTTCACGTTTTAAAACTACAAGGTGTTGTGATTAACGATCAGTCACAGCGTTCCCAGTGAACATCGACTGTGCCAAGCTTCTACAGAAACTAGTTTTCTGCGGACACAGCTGTCAAAGGTGAACCAACTTTCTCAATTTTAATCACAACTGTTACAGGTTAAAATAACACTTACTTCAGAGACTGATCCTAGTCAGTATAACAACTCTTGAAGTAACCACTCATTCACAATTATCACACATTTATTTCAACATAACAATACACATTTAAAATATGGATCCGTGTACTTTCTTTTCAGGCTAAAAGTATAAACCTTTGTGTGTGCTTCTTTTCTCTTATGTAAGGAACGTGCTTTTGAACTCACAGGACTTTTTATTCTGCTGGTCTTGTCGTTCAGGGCATGAACGACTCACAGTTATTTTGTTACTCTATTGTGTTTTCTCTTCTGTCTAAGTTTTGGCCGACTGAGAGCTATGGCACGCTGTGTCCCTGGTACTCAGTCCAAGCAATTCAAGCCGTAAACTTGAATCTTGACACCAAAACTTTATAAATCAGTAATTTGGATTTCCTGTCCACTTACTTCAACAACTGTCTACGCGAGACCGTTGTGTTTCAGTTTTCAGTAGTCCAACATTCACACGATGTGTTTTGCAGTGGTCTTGTTCTATTCTTTTCTCTTGTAGAATTCGGGGGTCCTCAAATCTCCGGGCCTCAAACCCAGCTGTAACCGCCTCTCGTCAGAGTACGGTGGGGGTTGCCACACCCAAAGACATCTAACCCTGTTAGACTTCTGTTCCTTTTTCTCTTTTTACTCTTATTTCACTTCTTTATTTCTCTGTACCTTTACTTCTTCACACACATATTTCCCAGTATTCTTTTAAATTAATTTACGGACAAGGTGTTACTAGGACTCAGGACACAACTAAAATTTAGCTATTTCCAATGCAGAAGAAAAGCTCTGCTTACCTTATTTTGGGCCCGTGTCCTTTGTCTGTTCACACCAGGTCCTTGTGTCCAATGGTTCTATTGATCAACTCTCTGTTTTTTCTTGGAATCCCGGACGAGCCCCCAAAGTTGTTGTGGTAAGGTTTTACCACCCCGGATTCGTTGATCAAGAACTTTCACAAAGTATAAAGAAAAGACAAAAGTCGTTGCTCGAGTTCGCCTGTGCACAGGGAGGGTCCAGCGGAGAGTCAGGGGGTTGACTGCTGAATCCTGCTCTCTCCACAAACTCAGGCTCGTTTTATTGACACACATATCCAGGGGTGGTACATATCAAGCGATACAGACTTCATTTGTTCTACACACACATATCCATTCTTTTTGGCAACTACATCTACACCGTTGGTTTCTCATCCCGTTCTTATCGCTCCTAGGTGCTGTTGTTGGGACCTTGTGTTCTAACTATGAATCCAGCCATTGTCAAATTGTATTCTAAAAGTTTCTGTTTCCCACCACACCAAGTACTCCTCTTTTCACAACAAACCTTGGTGTACCTCAACCTTGCAGCTCCTTTTCTTACAGCTGCATATTTTCAGTTTTAGCTTTAAGCAGCATTTTATGTTCAAGCTGGTTATATGTTTTAGCACATCTCTTATGATCTTTTTAAAACATGAATATATATGTTGCATACTTCTATAAAATACAAACACATGAATACATTTCATCCACAAGCCATAGCCAGGCCAGTGTGCTGGGGCAGTCCTGACACCCAGTTTATGGTGTTTGTTTAGGTATTCCTGCAGTAACATGTGACATTCAGGACCAATCAGTGAGGAACAGAAAACAACAGAAAACAAAAAAAAAAGGATTGTGTTTAACAAAAGGCTTAGATTTATGTTGTAATTCTCTATGTTGTAGTTCCGAAAACTGACCTGTAGGTGGGACTTTGTGACTGAAGGAGCATTTCATTGCCTCTTTCAGGATCTCACCACAACGAGCAGCAAAATCTTTGACTATACTCTATAAGAAATATTAAAACTTAATGAGTTTTATATTATATTATAATAGTAAGAAGAATTTAATTATCTGCTACTAAGCATTTATACAGCGTCATTACTTTTTAAAAATAAAAAACAAGACTCTGTTGCCATCTAGTGGTCCTAGGTATGACTCACCTCTCGGGCTTCGTAAGTGTCAGGAACGGTGATTCTGTAGGGAGTGTCTGGAATATCATAGTACGGCTGATCTTTGTGAATATCCTGTAAAAAACAACACAAAATACAATTATTTACTTTGACTTATGTCACACAATCTAGAATTAAATCAAAAACATGTTTTTTCATACAGCAGTGTCTGTAAAATATTCAACATTGTCTTCAGGACACAGCCACTCCACCGCAGATGTGGGAACTGGTAATGGAACAGCAACGTCATTTAAACATGTGAGAATGTGACAGAAAAATAGTTAACTGTGGGTTAAAAAACAATGACCCACGTCTCAGCCGAACCAGAGAGGTATTTGTCTGCCACTCTTCTGATCCTCTTATGCATATGATTAAAGTTGATCAACAGAAACTGGGCATGCCGCTCCAGTTCTTCCTCGTGCTCTTTGGCTGCAAAGATGAAAAAAAAAAACATGTTTATTTTCTTTATTACCTGCTGAAAAACCATGACATATTAAATATATCCCAACATGTAAGTAGACACCACACACCTTTTCAGCCATCATTTAGAGGAAAACATCAACAACTTTATCACCAACACAAATAATGCACTGCATCCTGCCTGTGAATAAAATAAGGCTAAATTAGTAATATTTTAACACTGGATTTCAGCATCCTGGAGGTGGAAACAGCAGGAGGATTAAAGAGTTTTTAAAAGTCAGATCCAACAACAACAAAGGAACAAATCATTTATTTTCCATAACAAAAATACATAAACGATTTACTCTTGGCCTGTGCTTCGCCATTCTAGGAAATTTAAAACTAATAATTCAGCTTAAATTTTGTATAATTCTACAGACAGGAGTACAATTTTAATCCTATAGAACAGGGGTGTCAAACTCAGGGGTCCCCAACCCTTGGTCCGCAGACCAGTACCAGTCCATAGGTCACTTGGTACCGGGCCGCAGTGGGACACACTGAAACAATGTACTTTATTTTTAATAATTTAGTTAATTCAAATAAAATCCTGTCATATCCATTTTGTTTCTTTATTTAAAAATATTCTGGCAATATTTTAAAATAATGTGTCATTCAGACTCTGATACAAACAGAATAGAGTCTAGTACATATGTGTCAAACTCAAGGCCCGGGGGCCAAATGCGGCCCGCCAAGCCGCCTGAAATTAAAAGTTTTTTATTAGACAGTAATGAACAATATTTTTAGCTTGAATAAATAATAATCAATTGCAGAAGCATGTATTAGTCTGATATGGAGTAGTTACATCTATACCACATATGCTGATGTAGCCCCCGGTGAAAATTAGTTTGACACCCCTGGTCTAGTAGATGTGAAAATTTAATGATCCTTCAATGCTCAGCACCTTGCTACCAGTCTGTAGTAATGGGATATGGTTATTTGATTGATTATAAAAACTTTTAATTACTCAGCTTAAGAAACACTGCTGCATGAACCTACTTATGTACTAAATGCTTTTTAAGCTCCCACGGGCCACACAATACGGCTTGGCGGGCCGCATTGACACCTATGCTATAGAGAAATGTATTTCCTGTTTTTACTCCCAGAACTCCTTCTTGGGGAATAAAGAAATTCTCTTTCAGATGCTGTTTTTGTGAAACCCATCTATTAGCTAACTGTGATACACCAACAGAATGAAAAGCCTCCACTAACACAGTGACACAATGCATTGAGAACACTGACAGACAATGTTCATGTGAGTGGAGCTGACCTCATGTATTCTAATCTGTAGACTGACAGCAGATAGGTGGACATGGCGAAGTCCAGCTTGTTAATGAGGGCAGATCCTTCAGGAGGAGGGTTCAGGAGATTGCTGATTGTCACCCTCAGCTCACTCAGCTCCGCCTATTGGGCAAATACAGTCATTACACAGTTAAATCCAACATTGTTGTGCGGTATTAAAAACATTTTTGGAAAAGTTCGGGGAGGCCATGGAGGAAGACTATCAGTCGGTCTCGAAGAAATTCTGGCAAACCGTTCGGTGCCTTAGAAAGGGAAAGCAGTTTCCCGCCAACACTGTTTACAGTGGATGTGGGAGCTGTTGTCCTCAACTGGGAATGCTGTTGGGTGGTGGAAGGAATACTTCGAGGAGCTCCTCAATCCCACTGACACACCTTCTACACAGGGAAGCAGAGGCAGAGGACTCGGTGGCTGACCCACCCATCTCCTGTGCTGAAATCAGAGGTGGTCAAGAAGCTACTCGGTGGCACCGGGGATGGATGAGATCCGCCATGAGTACCTCATGTCTCTGGATGTCGCAGGGCTGTCTTGGCTGACACGTCTCTGCAACATTGCATGGCAGTCGGGGACAGTGCCTCTGGACAGGCAGACTGGGGTGGTGGTCCCTCTTTTTAAAAAGGGGGACCGGAGGTTGTGCACCAACTACCGAGGAATAACACTCCTCAGCCTGCCGGGGAAATTCTATTCCAGGATACTAGAAAGGAGAATTCGACCAATAGTTGAACCTTGGATCCAAGAGGAACAATGCGGTTTTCGTCCTGGTCATGGGACACCGGACTAGCTCTATACCCTCCACAGGGTGCTTGAAGGTTCATGGGAGTTTGCCTAACCAGTCCACATGTGCTTTGTGGACTTGGAGAAGGCTTTCAACCGTGTCCCTCGTGGTATCCTGTGGGGAGTATTGGGTCAGGGGCCCTCTGATAAGGGCTGTTCGTTCCCTGTACAACTGGAGCAGACCTGTTCCCAGTGCATGTTGGACTACGGCAGGGCTGCCCTTTGTCACCAGTTCTGTTCATAATCTTTATGGACAGAATTTCTAAGCACAGTCAAGGTCCGGGTGGGATCCACGTCGGGAGCCATTGGATTTCATCTCTGCTTTCTGCAGATGATGTTGTCTTGTTGGCTTCTTCGAGCCAGGACCTGCAGCATGCACTGGGGTGGTTTGCAGCTGAGTGCGAAGCCACTGGGATGAGAATCGGCACCTCTAAATCCAAGGCCAAGGTAAGCATATAAACAATATTTATATGAATATTTATTTACATTCAACTTATATCTCTTTAGTATTGTGTTGTGGAGTAAATACCATCTAAAGGTGAAAGGGTCGTAAAGTAGATTAGAGTAGAACATGCTATGTACTGTTTCCCACTTCCTTACCTGATCCTTCTTCTGCAAAGCCCATGACCACAGAGTACAACCAGAAGTCCCTGAACAGCTTCTGGAGGCGAGGCTTAGCCTCTTTGGTTGGCGGAAGTCTGGTCAACTGAGTGTAAAAGGGGGAACAGAAAAACAGAAAGAACAGGCTGAAAAAAATGTGCTGAGATTTTTTCTTACTTTTAAACTAATCATTGTTTACTTTAATCTAATTTCAGCAAAATTAAATTAAAAAATAGAAATAACCAAAAAAAAATGACAACATTAAAAATACAGCTAATTAAAATTAAACACAACATTCAAAAACATTACAATAATATAAACAAGTGTGTGTTTACAGCATATTTTTTAAACATTTTTTAAGCTGCCGAATTGTGGAGAGCCAAAGATTTTCAGTCGGTCAAAGCACTTTTTGTTCTGTTTGATCTGGTCTATTTGTTCAGGAGGAGCCTGCATCAAAGTTCAGTTTTGGATTCAATTCTTTGCCTTTAGTCCTACAGACAGAAGCACTTAGACCAGCTCAAAGAAACGGTAAGATATTTCACTCACTCCTGCATTCTGACCATTCTAAACTGAACTAAACTCACAGGGTGTTCTCTCCGCCTTAGGCCTCAGGATGTGGGTCACAGCCATCATCTCTGTCTGCCTGTTGTTCAGTCCATGCCTAACTGATATCAAAGAGTTAAGCTCCCACTTCACTGACACTAACCCAAACCCCAGAGGCCTTGGAGCAGATGGGGCAGACATGGAGACCATTCCCCTGGACTTCCACAGAGAAAACACTGTGACCAACGACCTCATTTTTGACGGTTCTGAGGACAATGACTACATTGATTTTGACAAGATCCTGTCAGCAGGCAGCGACGACTACAGGTACGTGTATTTTGTACTTATAGATTATGTAGAGGTAGTAAAACTATGGAACTATGGGAAATTCTTCTTTTCTAAGAATATATGTTGGGTTTTTTTCTGTGCAAGAAATATTGACCAAGTGAAGGTCTCTATACTGTTTGTTTTCCCTTAAAATGTGACTAATCACATCCATTTCTTAATACATGGTCACTTGATGTTAGAGCCATAAATTAAGTTATTTCGTTGTAAAATGCTGTGTTCCACATGATCTGTCCCTTATCTCTACGCATGTTGTTTTGCAGCGAAGGGGATGAGATAGACGACATAGCCACACCGGCCCCAGACATCGATATCTTCGCTGAACCCTCCGACCCCAAGATTCGCCGTGCTAGACTCCTGCGTCTGTTTCACGGCCGCTCTCGTCTTCAGCGCATCAACATCGTCAATGCCCATTTTGGCTTCAAACTCTACCGCAGTCTGCGCAACGACGTCAACCAGACCGACAACATCTTGTTGGCTCCGGCTGGGATCTCCATTGCCATGGGGATGATGTCTTTGGGCGCCGGACCCGGAACTCAGGATCAGATCTACAGGGCTCTGGGCTTCGTGGACTTTGTCAATGCCAGCCACCATTACGACAACTCAACGGTGCACAAGCTCTTCAGGAAGCTAACACACCGGCTCTTCAGGAGAAACTTTGGGTACACGCTGCGCTCTGTAAACGACGTCTACATCAAGAAAGACGTTCCTATCAAAGATACTTTTCGTGCGGAGACGAAAGCTTACTACTTCGCGGAGCCGCAGTCTGTGGAATTTGGAGATCCCGCCTTTCTGGACAAGGCTAACCGTCGCATTGAAAAGCGAACCAAAGGGCTGATCAGGGAACCGCTAAAGAGTGTAGACCCAAATATGGTGCTGATGCTGCTCAACTATCTGTACTTTAAAGGTCATCATCTAGTTTCAACTCCCGCGTCTGTACATATTCTCACTGCCTGAGTCACAGATTATCAATCAAGTCTATAAAAAACAAACTTTGTGAATCTTTTATCTGACTTTGTTTGTTTGTTTACAGGTACATGGGAACAGAAATTCCCTAAAGAAATGACACACTATCGCAACTTCAGGATCAACGAGAAGACGAACATACGTGTGCCAATGATGACCAACAAGGGCAACTATCTGGCAGCTGCTGACCACGAGCTGGACTGTGACGTCCTGCAGGTGGGAGGACACTGAGAAAATCGGAACATCTTGAACAACATGAACGCTGTGTGGGTCAACATCTAAGCTGCACAATAACAACTGACCTACTTTCAGCTACCGTACACAGGAAACATCAGCATGCTGATTGCCCTGCCGAGAAAGATCACCAGGATGAGGAACCTGGAGCAGGAGATCTCTCCTACTGTGGTCAACAAGTGGCTCAATAACATGACCAACAGGTCCACACCGTCATGAGCTTTATACTAACTGAAGAGCCGGTGATGCACTTAATTTATAATATATTGTTAATTTTAAGTCTCAGTGTGAATTTTTTTTCTCTCTGCAGGACCCGTGAGGTTGTGTTACCCCGGTTTAAATTAGAGCAGAACTTTAACTTGAATGAAAACTTGAAGGAGATGGGCCTGAATGACTTGTTTCAGGCCAGTGCAGATTTCTCCGGAATGACAGATGAAAAGGTTTCCATGAACTGGGTGAGTAAAAAGAATTAGCGAAAAATAAATTATAAAAATAAACAACTTCCATGTCTTCTTATTTCTAAACTCTGCAGCTGAAGCACCAGGGAACTATCACTGTGAACGAAGAGGGGACAGAAGCTGCTGCTCTGACCCAGGTGGGCTTCATGCCCCTCTCCTCTCAGATCCGATTCACCGTGGATCATCCGTTTCTCTTCTTAATCTACGAGCATCGCACAGACTGCCTGGTGTTCATGGGTCGTGTGGCTGATCCTTCTCAGAGCTAAACTACACAGTACAAAATTTCCCTCTTAAGTCAAACTAGGTTTTAACAAACCTCCAAAAAATACTGATTTTAACAACTTAGGTATTGTTATTAATTTAAAAAACACAATATGTCAATTGTTGTTGGTCTTTGCTTTGTAGTTTGCCTTCATTGGAACATTTAAACTTCTCTATTCTGTTTAGAGCTCTGAGTCTGAGTCACACAGTGAATACCCGTTATCTCTTTGTTAATGTTTTATCTTGTGCAGTGAAGGAAGAAAAGGTAACAGTCGCTGCTCTAATACTGTTCTGTACAGATATAATACCAAGAAAAGCATGGATTAATTCTATCATCAACAAAGGAGATAATAAAATAATAACCAACACATTTTCACATCCAGTTACATGACATTTTGAGACGGAAAGAACTTAAAAATGGTGTAAAGTGAGAAAGATAATCTAAAGATATGTATCTTATATTTTTTATGTAACTACATTTAGCACAGTAAAATAGTAATAAAGAGTTGTTATTAGGCTGGTTATAAAAATAACTCAAAATAACAAAGCACTTGAACTGAATGGAGCTGATGGAGTAAATATTTGTTCAGAGGGTTAAAAGCTAACTCTTGGCACAGCATTGTCTGTGCGAGTGCAAATACTTCAGTAGATCATTCAACTGCACTCTGAGAGAGCGTTTTGTTAAAACACAGCTTTTAAAAATTCCTAGAAATTGAATCAAAAAAGAAAAAAAAATCTGCTCAAATATATAAATATTCAAAAGTACTTACCACAGCAATGACTGGGATCAGGACACCCAGATTTCTAGCACTGCTTGAGGCCTATAGAAAATAGAGTCATCAATGATGTCACAGCATTGATATTTTTCTCACTTTAAATTGATTGTAAGTGTGAATGTGTAATGAGCAAGTAAATGCGGTGCAGTCAGGAGGCTTAGACTAATTACAGCTGCTCTGGATGGAACAGAAACAGTTTACTTTGCTGCTATTTATGGAGCAAAAATGTGGCTGCTCACATCTAATTAAATGTAATTTCTCTCCAGCTGATTTAATAGTTTATCTTTTAAATACTTAAATGATAAAAAAAAGGCAGTGATGGCTAACGATTCCTCCACACCAATGCAACAACCAACTGTAACTTTGTGTACGTACATTTCCTGTGATGACCATGCAGCCCAGCTGGTCGATGATGAGAACGTCCAGCTGTGAGGGAGGCTGGCAGAACTTCTGTTGAAGGATCTGAAGGATGTGCTCCATGACTTTAGGAGTGTCTCTCAGAGCCACTGCGATGTGACCCAGGGCACGAATGGTGTGATCGGGGATAATGATAATAATAATAATAATACATTTTATTTATAAGCGCCTTTCAGGTCACTCAAGGACACTGTACATAAAAATAAAATAAAAACAGATAATTATAAAACAGGGCATAGAAACACGTTTAAAATCAATGATGAAC